ATTAGTAGTCAATCCTTTTACCAGCAGTACCTTATTCAGACTTGGAACTCCAGGGTAGTCCAAATTACCAACTCCTTTGACTTCTCCTTTAGCACCATCTCCAAAGGTCACAAAACTGGTGGTGTGAGGCATAACATTATTGAGGAGATTTTTGAATCCAGTCATGTGTCTGGAACATCCACTGTCAAAGTACCAATCTTCCTTTGCAGAGATCTTCAGGGAAGTGTGAGCTATCAGTGCAGTAGCCTTTTTCTTCCATTGAGGAGTGTGTGGTACCCTTTTCGACTTAGGTTTGACATCTGAGTTCTGATTCGGATATCCATGTAATCTGAAGCAGAAGGGCTTTATGTGACCATATTTCCCACAATGATGACATCTCCATCTTTGGTACCTCTTCTTCATATGTCTCTGTCCCTGATGTTGAGAGTAATGTTGAGACATCCGTTTTGACATTTGCTTCCCGGTAACAAATTTTTTTGTTTCCACAAATCCTAGGCCAGATTTATTTCCCATATTTTGTCCAGCCTGAAGGATCTCTTCCAATTTGTCTGTTCCATTGGTCAACATCTTGACAGATTTGGTCATTTGATTCAGTTGTGAGTTCAGCAGTTGAACTTCTCCTTCTAAATGACTTATAGTTTCAAGATTTTCCCTCTTTTCAGCCTCCAGCTTTACAATGAGTTTTGATTGTTTCTCATTTTCCACACAGACTTCACCACTTCTGATACACAATTTCTTGTAGGTATCAGCCAGTTCTTCAAATGTCACTTCTTCATCACTGGTGTCACTTTCAGAAGTACAAACACTAGTTAGGGCAGTAACTAGTTTGGCAGATTCTTCTTCAGAATTGCTTTCTGAATCATAGTCAGACCAGGTAACAGTCATTCCTTTCTTTTGCTTCTTAAGAAAGGTAGGACATTCAGCTCGAATATGTCCATATCCTTCACATCCATGGCATTGAATACCTCTGCCTTGGTTTCCCTTATCTTCTGACCTTGGTCTTCTGCTGTCAATGTCAGAAGGAATGTTATGAACATTAGACTTTGACTTTGGGTCCATTCTTTTGATGAGCCTGTTGAACTGTCTTCCAAGCATGGCAATGGCTTCTGATATGTTTTCTTCTTCATCTTCCTTGTATTCAACATCAGTGTTGGATACAAGTGCTATGCTTTTGTTCTTCTTGTCACCATTATCAGTGATCCCCATCTCAAAAGTCTGAAGAGACCCAATAAGTTCATCCACTTTTAACTTGCTAATGTCCTGGGCTTCCTCTATGGCAGTTACCTTCATTGCAAATCTTTTAGGCAAGGATCTGAGAATCTTCCTCACCAGTTTTTCTTCTGACATTTTTTCTCCCAGTGCTCCTGAGGTGTTGGCAATCTCCAAGATGTTCATGTGAAACTCATGAATGGTTTCATCTTCCATCATTTTTAGATTCTCAAACTTAGTGGTCAACATCTGAAGCCTTGACATTTTTACTTTGGAAGTGCCCTCATGAGTAGTTTTGAGAGTATCCCAAACTTCCTTGGCCAGTTCATATTGATGTACTAGTCTGAAGATGTTTCTATCTATTCCATTGAACAAGGCATTTAAAGCTTTTGAATTTCCCAGAGCTAACTCATCTTCTTCTTTACTCCAATCTTCCTCAGGCTTCAGACTGATTGTCCCATCTCTTTCAGTTATGGTGGGATGAATCCATCCTTTGTCAGCAGCTCTCCAAGCCTTTTTGTCCAGAGATTTTAGGAAGGCAATCATACGAGGTTTCCAGTAGTCATAATTAGTTCCATCCAGAATGGGTGGTCTATTTCCAAAAACTCCTTCTTTGTCCATAGTGCCAGAAAGTGATATCCCTAGATCTCACCCAGTAATACAGGCAGGGTGCCTGCTCTGATGCCAATTGAAATTCTGGCTACAGATACTCAATGTCACGTCCAATGTTATGACACCGTATCTGACTTACTATATGACAGTAAATACAAAAGCAGTAAATAACACAGTCAATTGTTTACCCAGTTCAGTGTGCAACAACACCTACTCTGGGGGCTACCAAGCCAGGGAGAGAATCCACTATAAGAGATGTTAATTCAGGAATAAACCAACCAGTTTATCTCCTTCACTTAAGACCTACCCAATGCAATTCTAATCTAAGTACAACTTAAACCTGAGTTCCTACTCACTCCCCCTCAATCACAGCAGTGATACATAAACCAATTTGACTTAAGAATTGATGAAGACACTCTTCAAAACACACACTTGATTAAGCTTCACAACTTTTTAATCAAGTAACACAATCACTCGTGCTTCACAGCTTTGAGTGATGTACACAACTAACTTGACTCTGCTTCACAACTTTAGTCAAGTAACATTCAAACACTCTTACTTCAAAGCTTTGAGTGCTACACAACCCTTACAATTGAAACCTATTCCAAGGCACTTATCACAATGATAATTGCTTGGAGTACAATAAACAAATCTATACAGATTACAAAATTGATCTTCTAATCAATCAGCAGGGATGCCTTGAAAAACCGCAGCTCTGTTGAATATATAGCAGCTGCAACTTCAGTTAGGGTTTCCAAAAACCTAGGGTTGATTCCGTTTGACCTAAAGACCAGGTCACAGTACTTTATTGATCAGGTTAGGATCGAGCTAGGTTGCTCCTCAGAAAACGCAGGATTCTGTTCAGAAAGGACTGAGTTATTTCCTGAAAAAACTCAGACTTATCCAATCCTGCAATCCTGTTAGTTCAGAACAGGATGTCATAACATCTGTTATGACATCTGATAAAACCTGTCTACTGATTTAGCAAAATGTGATCATTTTGCAAACATGCTCAGATACACACTTATAAACATCAGTATTTGAATTACAATATTTTTCTGCACATGTACCTATTGAGTTAGTACAACCTGAACTAGAATGTTATGACATCAGTCATGACATTCACACATACACTTGGGATTTACCAAAAATGCAAGCCAATACCTAAACACCTACAAACCCAAACTTAGCTCGTTTCTTGTCCTCAAGCAATGCTCATGATATCCATAAACTCATTTCACCAATAAAACAATGAAATTTCATGCTTACCACAATAGCTCTGAGATCTTTTGCTCCTCGCTCTTACTTTCACCTTTAGATTCCTTTGTGTTCCACCTTTGAGTACTCTGTTGCATTTCCACAGATCAGTGATATTTCACCTGCCAAATTATATCACACTCTCACCAAGTCTCTCTAGGTTAAAGTGTTTTTCACTCAACATTTTAAAATATTCAATATCGACTCACGAGTTTGAACAAATTCTCCCTTCATCTCAACATGAACAACACACACACTTATTGATGTCTTTTTAGGTTGTAACGAGGCTTAGGTTACGGTGGGATATGAAAAAGGAAAACAAGGTTTTTGGTTTAGAGTGAGTTCTATCATTCTCTTACTGTTTCCCTTCCAACTATCTTTATTTGATAAAATTTCTCACTGGAGGGCTCCACTACTCAGTACCGAGTCTTTTATTTCGGTGAGTGTCGCCTTTGTTATCCTTATTTTATTTGGTTGTTTTGTGTTTTTATATTTTTTCTTTCTCTTTTTTTTGCACTCATCACCTTGATTGATTTTTTTCTTCAGTATAGCCACCCTAAACTTAAATGTTGCTATTCCAACAACAACCGCTAACTTAGAATCAAACACAAATTTAATCATAACAACAATCACTCTGAACAAGGTATGAAACTGTTTGGGACAGGGGTTAACATGACAAGGTAACACACACACAATGGGATACAGGCCTAAAATGGGTGAGCAAAGGATAATAATGAAAAAGGGATGGCTTGAAAGGCCCAGGGTATAACAAATAATGTGCCTCAGTGTGTGTAATCATGCAGTGATGTAAAGAAGAGAACTTACGCAAGCTTTGAGTGATAGAGACATACCTAATGTATCACTCATGATGAATGTGCGTTTGGCTTTTTCTATTCTCACCATGTTGGGAAAAGTTGACAAGATCCATAGTACTCTCTGTGTGGTGCAACTTCCTTCTCAGTTCTGGATACACAGTGTTCATCTGGAAGTAGAATTCAAACAAGTGATTTCCAATCATTTTTCAGAGGTATCAACATTTTTAGGACAAAAATCCAGCAACATCACTTTTTTAGGAACAAGCAAAAATTCGTCGTTGTATTTGTCATCCTCTATAGCTACCATTCATCACTTAATCACAAAATAAACCATAAACTGTAACACTTGAAACAAACTTCATTAATAATTCAAAAGCCCCAAAAAATGGATGATGATTACATAAGAAAAAACGAGAAAAGAAACAAAATAAAATTAAGAAAAATAAATTCCTAAACAAAACCACTAAAAGATACAATCTCACAGAAAGACAAACAAAATATCATAACAAACTAAGATTCATCACCACCCCTGTCTGTGTCTTCCATGTCAACATCCTCAAAGCTAATGGTGACATCGTCACTCTAAAAAAAAGCAGAGAAAGGAGTCAAAACTCCCCCTGGATGCTGCTTAGGCACCTGCTGATGAGTATCATGCTGTTGAGATGTCTGCTGATGAGGCTCATGCTAATTAGGCGCCTGCTGCTCAACTAGTCTCTTGATTTGAAACGGGTACGAGTAGCCAGTATGCTAAAAACATCCGAAGTGAGGAGCTGGTGCAAATCCTGAAAATGATCTCTAAATCGTGGAACCGTTTCCCAAGTATGGGTATGATGTATCAGAAATAGCCCAGACATACCGATCTGCACATTCTGCATAAAACAAAAATTACTCATCCTGTCAGAGTGCTCCAGAGAGTCCTTGTGAGGATGATTAGGTTCCTCTATGGGAACTTTCTGTGTCTCTTCCTCCCTCAAAGGCCTACTAGATTCTACTCAGTCAGACCTTGGTTTCCTTGATGCTCTTTGCACCGACTGATTCATCACGGTGTTTGTTTTTAGCCAAGCGAGATCTGATGACCGTGCTGGTTTCACCACCACCTTCTGGTCCATGTTTGGCACCCGAGTTTTTTTACATAACAACCAAATCACAGTAGCATGTCCTAAAGATTTCTTCTTAGGTTACTGGGCTATGGCATCCATATCATCATCAATAATCCTCCCAATATTGAGTGTCTTTTTCGAGAGGAGAAAATACCGCGTGAAAGCTCTCTCCACAAATAGATCCGACCCACTACGGTTTATGTCTAACGTGTGGTGCAGTAAGAAAGTCCAAATTTTGGGAATGGGGGCCATGTCCACAACTAGCATCTTTGAAGGAGAGATTTTAGAGTTTGGTTGCCAACCTTTACTTGGCTGAGCTGGCAGTTTCTACATATCCTCATACAGCCCGGAATCCTTGTTGGATAATTTGTTTGACTAAAACGGGCATTCTACTTCCAAAAAATTTCACTTAAGAATCCTATTTATCTTTTCCCAATTGAACAGGATAGTTTTTCCGTGAACCCATGAAACCAAATCAGCATTAGGCTCAACACTGGTTGCTGCAATTTCCTCAAGAGTCCGGAATGCATTTGCATAGAATTCCAGTACCAAATCTTGTGCTACTGGCCAGAGTTGGTCGTTCAAAAAATTGAGCTTGTGCTTTGCGAGCACTTCATGCACTTCGAGAAGCTGATCTGGTTCTAATTTCCAACCCCGTTCGTTATTAATATACCTACTTTTTAGACTTTTGAATCGTTCTTGGTGAAACACAGATCTGAATCTATCAGAATCATAATCTTTTGCGGAAATTTTCAGTGTTAGTGAGATGAGGGAGAAGGAAGAATGAAATCTACGAAGATTCCATAAGAAAACAGATGAAACACAGAGCACAAAAAAAGGGTGATACAAAATATTTTTCATATGAGAAAACAAAAAAATGACAGAATAATGCGAAAAAAATATAAATAGTCAAGTAGCAAAATGAAACGCGTAACATACGCATTTTTAAAAATCAAACACATATCATACGTGTACACACAAAGCCAATTTTCAGTGTAAAAAAGTGGATCACGTAAGATACGCATAAGGCCAATTTTTTCTGCTGCAATATGTATATCCTACGCGTATAACCAGAAACATTTTTCAAGGCCCACACGCTCATATATCGTATGTCATGCATATGTGTTATGAGACGCATAACATATACGTATGGTCTTTATTATGCGTAAGGCCTCTGTTTTGTACACGTTTGATACGAATTCAAGCAGGAAGGGTCGTCTTTGACACCTCCATACGCGTATAACATGACCCATACGCGCATGGGAAGAACATGCACTTTACAAAAAAATGTCTTCTTTTTCTCATGTTCTTAGTCTTTTTGCTATCTTGACTCGACTGTAACTCAACACAACTCAATTTTAAAGACTAAAAACAAAATTACCAACTATCCCGTAAGACGAACATGGTCTATCTAACCACTCTCCTGTCCTTGATAGTAAGGTTTTAATCTTCGCCCATTCACTTTAGAGGTGTCCCTGTTTGCTTGATTTTTCAGCTCAATTTCTCCATGCGGGGACACTTTGTGAAACACAAATGGTCCGGACCATCTGGACTTCAGATTTCTAGGAAAAAACTTCAACCTAGAATTAAACAACAGTACCAACTGTCCTTCCCAAAATTCCTTCCTTACGACCTTTTGATCAGGCCATTTTTTTTGTTTGTTCTTTGTAAGGTTTGGCATTCTCGTAAGCATGATTCCGAAATTCTTCCAACACATGGAGTTTCAGAATTCGAGATTCACCCGCTTTTGTCTGATCATAGTTGAGGAATTTAGCGGCCCAAAAAGATTTGTGCTCTAACTCGAGTGGTAAATGACAAGCCTTAACTTAAACCAATTGATAAGGAGACATACCTATTGGTGTTTTGAACATTGTTTTGTATGCCAATAGTGCATCATCCAGCTTCATTGACCAATCTTTATGAGATGCACTGACAGTTTTTTGGAGAATATTTTTTATCTGTCTATTAGACACTTCAACTCGGCTACTCATCTGAGGATGATACGAAGTGGCGATCTTATGCTTCACGTTGTACTTCTTCAATAGATTCTCCATCAACTATTTCAAAAAATGGGTTCTTTCATCACTGATCAGTCCTCTTGGCACCCCAAACCTCGAGAAAATATCATTCTTTAGAAAGTTCACCATAACCCGAGCATCATTGGTGGGTAGCGCCATTGCTTCCACCCACTTGGGGATATAATCAACAACAACTAGGATGTAATTCTTCCCAAATGATGGTGGAAAAAGAACCATGAAATATATGCCCCACACATCAAACAATTCTACTTCTAATATAGCATTCTGAGGTATCTTATTTCTCTTGGAAATGTTACCTGCTCTCTGACACCAGTCACATTCTTTAACTATGCCTTGGGCATCTTTGAATAGTGCCAGCCAATATAATATGGATTGAGGGACTTTATATGTTGTTGTGTCGCCACTAAAGTGTCGTCCATAGTCTGAGTCATGGCAAACTTTGAGGACGTCCCTTTGCTCTTCCTCTGGGACACATCTTCGAACCAACATGTCTATTCATTTTTTGTACAGAAATGATTCGTCCCACAAATAAAACCTGCAATCATGCAAAAACTTTTCTTTTTGTTAAAATCAAAATCGTCAAGTATTATTCCACCTACCAGATAATTCCCATAGTCCGCGAACCACGAAACATTGGTAGTTGCCAGGATTCATTTGTCCATGAACTCATCCCTGGTATGGTGTTTCTCCTCTATTTCCTCTATCAGGAACATCCAGGAGAAGTGATCAGCAACTGTATTTTCACATCCCTTTTTATCCCGGATTTCCAAATCAAACTCTTGCAGCAACAATATCCATCTTAGCAACTTTGGCTTCAATTTCTGTTTGGAAAAAAGATATTTCAAAGCAGCATGGTCAGTATATACAATTACCTTTGCTCCTAACATGTAAGACCTGAATTTGTTAAAAGCATACACCACCTCCAGCAACTCCTTTTCAGTTGTTGCATAGTTCATTTGCACAAGATTCAACATATGGCTTGCATAGTAGATCACATGTAATAGTTTTTCCTTTCTCTATCCGAGCATTGCCCCCACTGCTATATCACTCGCATCATATATGATCTCAAAAGGAAGAGAACAATCAGGGGAAATTACTATAGGAGCAGATACCAACTTACTCTTAAAAGTTTCAAATGTCTCACCACACTTTTTATCAAACATAAAAGTGTATCCTTCACAAGCAAACTAGTCAATGGTTTAGCGATCTTCAGAAAATCTCTTATGAACCTTTGGTAAAAACCCACATGTCCCAAGAAACTTCTGACACCCTTCTCATTCATCGGTGGTGGTAAGTTTTCAATCACCTCTACTTTTTCCTTGTCAACTTCATTTCCCTTATGGGAAATTTTATGCCCCAAAACTATACCTTCACGCACCATAAAATGGAACTTCTCCCAATTAAGGATCAAAATTTCCTACTGACATCTTTCTAGCACAAGAGGCAAGTTATTCAAACAATTATCAAAAGAAAATATGAAAACCAAAATAGCATCGATAAACATCTCTGAAAAGTAGTAGGTGCATTACACAACCCAAATGAAATTCTCCTGTAGGCGAAAAATACCATAAGGGCATGTGAATGCGGTCTTCTCGTGATCTTCTAGGGCCACTGCAATCTGATTGTATCTTGAGTAACCATCAAGGAAAAAGTAGTAATCGTGACCAACTAACCTTTCCAACATTTGATCGATGAATGGTAAAGGAAAGTGGTCTTTTCTTGTAGCAGTGTTCAACCTTCGGTAGTCGATGCACACTCTCCACCCTGTAACAATTCTTGTAGGAATCAACTCATTCTTATCATTCTTAATGATTGTTGTTCCTCCCTTCTTTGGTACCACATGAACAAGACTCACCCATGAACTATCAGGTATAGGGTAAATAAGACCCGCATCCAATAGCTTCACAACTTCTTTGTGGAAAACTTCTTTCATGGCAGGGTTAAGTCTTCTTTGAGGCTAGACAACCCGTTTCTGATTATCTTCCATCAATATCTTGTGCATGCAAACTGTGGGACTAATTCCTTTCTAATCTTTAATGGCCCACCCAATAACACCCTTACATTTCTTGAGTACTTTGATGAGTTGGTCTTCTTGAACTTTCTTTAGGCTAGAGTTGATGATAGATGGACATCTCTCTTGAGTGTCAAGGAAATTATATTTGACATTTCCAGGCAGCTATTTCAACTATGTCCCCTTTTTAATTTCTTGCTTTTCTTCAGGAGACTATGGTGGTTGTAACCCTTCCCACCAGTGTGGTTTTTATCTTTTCCATGGAAGTTGTGCTTCAAACATGGCTAGAACTTCTAGCTCTTTCTCATCTACTTCCTCATTATTTTTCAGAAATTGACAAGTTAAGAGCTCTTTCCAACAGTAATTCGGGAATTTTGTTTTGAACTGACTGAATAAAAATTGTGTCCAACACTTCTGAAATTCTGGCTACAGATACTCAATGTCACGTCCAATGTTATGACACCGTATCTGACTTACTATATGACAGTAAATACAAAAGCAGTAAATAACACAGTCAATTGTTTACCCAGTTCAGTGTGCAACAACACCTACTCTGGGGGCTACCAAGCCAGGGAGAGAATCCACTATAAGAGGTGTTAATTCAGGAATAAACCAACCAGTTTATCTCCTTCACTTAAGACCTACCCAATGCAATTCTAATCTAAGTACAACTTAAACCTGAGTTCCTACTCACTCCCCCTCAATCACAGCAGTGATACATAAACCAATTTGACTTAAGAATTGATGAAGACACTCTTCAAAAAAAACACACACTTGATTAAGCTTCACAGCTTTTTAATCAAGTAACACAATCACTCGTGCTTCACAGCTTTGAGTGATGTACACAACTAACTTGACTCTGCTTCACAGCTTTAGTCAAGTGACATTCAAACACTCTTGCTTCAAAGCTTTGAGTGCTACACAACCCTTACAATTGAAACCTATTCCAAGGCACTTATCACAATGATAATTGCTTGGAGTACAATAAACAAATCTATACAGATTACAAAATTGATCTTCTAATCAATCAGCAGGGATCACTTGAAAAACCGCAGCTCTGTTGAATATATAGCAGCTGCAACTTCAGTTAGGGTTTCCAAAAACCTAGGGTTGATTCCGTTTGACCTAAAGACCAGGTCACAGTACTTTATTGATCAGGTTAGGATTGAGCTAGGTTACTCCTCAGAAAACGCAGGATTCTGTTTAGAAAGGACTGAGTTATTTCCTGAAAAAACTCAGACTTATCCAATCCTGTAATCCTGTTAGTTCAGAACTGAATGTCATAACATCTGTTATGACATCTGAGAAAACCTGTCTACTGTTTTAGTAAAATGTGATCATTTTGCAAACATGCTCAGATACACACTTATAAACATCAGTATTTGAGTTACAATATTTTTCTGCACATGTACCTAATGAGTTAGTACAACCTGAACTAGAATGTTATGACATCAGTCATGACATTCACACATACACTTGGGATTTACCAAAAATGCAAGCCAATACCTAAACACCTACAAACTCCCCCTTTGGCAGATTTTTGGCTAAAGTCCCTAAACAATCAGAGATAAATAGATAGCAGCAGAAATAAGTGACAGCAGAAAAATATAGTGTCAAGTACTAATTAAGCAGTACCAATAATATTCTCCCCCACTTTAGCCACAAATGGGCCAAAGATTACATGTTTATAAAGTTATACAGTTATCCAAAACAAAATAAGGAGATCAGCAGCTGATCACAGCAGAACACACTTCCAAACTCCACCAGCAACACCACCAAGCAGCAATCATCCTTCAAGCACTGTCATCAGA